TCCGGACTACGTGTGACGCTGAGCCAAGTCTCAAAGCTGATCAAATCTGGGATTGGTCTAAATTTCGTTGTAGCATCTCTCATGCTGTTCTTGAACAATTGGTTACACCAGTAATTAAGCAGTTATCAACAGAAGTTTATCGTTTTTAAGGTCCTTTAAACGCTTACATTCGTCCGAATTATGTTAAATATTGTGGTCGACATAACGTGCAAATGTTTTTCATATGCGCAACGATCTGAAAAGATATTCGGATCATGAAGTATTGTTTTCTATTGCTAATAGTGGCGCTGAGGCAAAGATCGAATTTCTTACGGGTCTGATTACTCGTGTGTGTGTGCGCACATGCAAATATCGCTGTCTCTCAGATGTCACCCCAAGTCATTTAAATTGTCTACATGAATGCACACGGATGACAAGGAATCACGTGACATTGAACTGACATTCGATGATGAATTCAAGGCAGGCGATGAATGGCCACGTGATGCCCTTTACAGTCAAATCAACCCAACAAATGACTACCACGGCTCACTGATCGATCGACGAACGCAATGTAAGATTCGTGTTGAACGAGACTCAAACTGCCATGCATGAAGTGGCACTTCTTGCGCGATAGCAAACACATACTTGTTTTGTGACGCTTATTAAAATCTCCATATGAGCTCTGACATGAACCGCATGAAGCTGTCTGATCTCATTAAGTTGTTGGTAAAATATTTTTCTGCACCATTATCTATGAGGTTGTCGTGATTCAACAAATTAAAAATCCACAAGGACCGCAATTTACCAATTGATTTACGTATCTTATCCCTCAAACTGGGCACATGGATTTTTCAGAAAACATTTGCTCTCATTCATCCGAACATAGCATCAACCGGTAACCATGAAGCGCGGTGTTCAAATACCTAACCATCGCTTAACCTGATTTCATTAAAGTATGTTCACTCAACTGAATGGAAGTCGCATCCGTGCGCACTTTCACCTGCATCGTGATCGGTTACGGAATATTTGAGATCCGGTCATAACCATGAGAAATAATGCTCTCAGTAATATTTGTAAATCAGGCACAGATGAAGTAAAACAGTCATCAACTGCTCGGTGGTCGAATGGATGATGTGCTTGCATTCTATCTGTGGGGTCCTAGGTTGGGTCCTCTGTTGGGTTGATGGATTCGTGGTAATGGTTTCTCACTGTCTATCAGCAATAAACTTCATTGTATCGTCAAGTCAACTGGTTCACTAATTTGGTCTATATTTATTTTGTTTCAGGCTTGTAGGTTTACTACTTCGGCAGACTGCAAACACAAAGGGGGTGGAGGTCCAGCTGAGATGATTTACATGAATGACAGCAACCAGAACACATGGATTCATGAGAGACTGGGACGCAAGATAAGTCTGTCATAAATGTGTTTTATATTGTTTTACACCGGAAACAAAATTTTGGTCTACGCGAGGTCTTGATGATGAACCTAATTGAAACAAATTCTGAATACTTGCGTTAGGAAATTGCCAAACCGAAATAGGAGAAATTGACGAGGGCACGAGAAACCCATGAAAGCTTTACAATCTAAATGTGAATGAAAATGTGACAAAAATAGTTTTAAGTAAATTTAAAAAAACTAACTTCCTAGTTTTACGTTTTTGTTTGCCAATAATGATTGGGATATTGTTTAGAAAATGCTTTTGGTTGACTGTCGTTTGGTCTGGTGACCATAACGGGTCGGGATAAAAGGAACTTACACAGTTGGGCTTGCGTAGCAGAAACGACAGCGACAAGACCACTGCACGTTGGGTGCTGAAATGCAGTACAGTGTGAAAGGGATTTGAAAAGGAAAAATATAGACATCTTCTGCAATGCGTTTCAAATTGGTATGATAATATTCCTTTTCAGTTTTCAAAACCTTGTTTACTGTCTGGTTGGTTTTAATTTTGTGTATCGATTTTCAAACCTCGATTCTCAATACCTAGTGGTATAACAGTGATATAGCTCCATCCGGTCGATAATTCATAGTAATTTTTTAAAAATATTTTGGCTGAAAATGCTTCAAATTTCATCTACAGACACAATCTTTGGTTCATTTAGGCAATTGTACACTCGGGAAGCACTCTCGTAAAAGCTCATTGGTATTGCATATACATCGTCCATTCCGGGCTTTGATCTACAAACCCATTGTATGAAAGACAAACTGGGCTGTCCCAATCAATTGAAAGAAGTCTGAATGTGGGTCTCTGCCAAGACAGAAGTGGCCACACTTAGAATAATAGTTTCTGACCCATTCGATCCAAAACGGCTGGTCCACTAACCCTGGCTGCCCTGGTCGAAAATTGATCGATTCAAGTTCGATTGGATCCCTATGATATTCTAGTATCACAATGCGATGATTTAGTATCTGTAGCCCCTTTGGAAACTTTTCTCCGATTCCTCATAACACTGTGCCCACCCGCCGAACAAGTGATCTAACTCAATTTGAGAAGTCAGAAAATCCGCTCCGACGAGGTTTTTTAGAACAAGCGACAAGAGTATAGTTCTGTTTCCCGGATGTTCTCCAAATGAAGTTTCTATGACGGTTTCAAGAGCTATTCTTCCACCAACACGTAAGTACACGTTATTGGCATGTATCCCTGCGAAGAAACCATTATTTACGTATATCATATAAACAAACTGAAGCAGTCTAATTTGCTGCCAGGTAATTCAGCTAACGTTTTCCGTGTGTGGGGATCTGGATTCGATTCTCAGTTAAGGCAATGAACTTGCACGATTGACGAGATTCAATATAGGGTGAACACCTGTGCAAGGTTCTTCTCTTCCCTTTTCAGTAAACATTTTTATCCTTCCGTAAAACAGGTATAGAAACTAAAATACTGAGTAAGAGAACGTCATTGTTTACGGGTCCGATAAGGACACATTGATGATGCATTGACGATANCCGACAGAGAAACACCCGATGACCTTCCTTTTACTTTCAGTTATGCACATATGCTCTTTAACAGCATAGGTTCACAGAAGCCAACCCATTTATAAGATTATTACGCTTCCGTTACTGATAACTGTAACTCAGTCATCACCTTTTTTGGGCAATTACTACTTTGCCGTGTGATTGTAAATCATCGCGGCCTTCTTTCCAGTGTTTTCTTGCTGATGTGGATCAGTTTCCAAGGGTTTCTACAAATACCTCGATTGGTACATTATTCCAGTGAATTTTGCACAAAGCGAAGGAAATTGCCGAACTGAAAACACGAGAAGCAGTAAAAACATTGATGGGTTTTATCCGTGCAACGCATTCAGTAACTCCGATTGGAGTCGACCTGGAGTCAGCATATGAAACGTAATGTAAAATGTAGTCTAATCTATGTTTTGATGCTTTTAAGACCCCTTGGCTTAGCAACAATACGATTCTGTATAAGTATGCCTACAGTATCACCCCTTTTCAGGGAAACAGCATGCTCTCCAAAAACCTCTTTGCTCTGAGACAACCAATCAGAACAAGGGTATTGGTCGGAACATCAACCATTCAAGACGGTTGACAATAATCCAGTCAACCAAACATTGGATATATGCATGATTTTTGCATGATAAACGAATTCCTAAACGCTTCTGGCTGTGTTCTACTTTCCTACCTGTCAAGTTCTTATCTGGACGAGAAACGTTACCGGAAAATGATCCAATCGAGAATCCAGTACTGAGTTAAATCCTATGTGGTTACGACCTCAATATTACTGGTGCATTTGGGTGTAGAGAAAAAATGCCGAAAATGCCAGAGGTGTTTCTTTTTACAGAACTTCATAATGAAACATAATTCAAGTGGTGCGAAGAGGAATGTCAGAAAGCTGTTTGAACTAAACAAATCTACGGCACAACTACCGGTTCCCCAATTGATAAAGTCCGATTGGTTTATTGGGAGCGATAGTTGGACGCTGATGCTATTCAGTGCTCGCAAGGAACCGGCACTTATTGAATAATTCCCTGTGCTCAGGTTCGAATCCCAATACATGCCGATAATAAGAAATCACAAAAGTAATATAATAGTTGTATAGAACTTCAAACGAGTAGATAAAACATTGAAAAAGAACTAACAAATTCACAAGCTGTTTCATCTGATTATTACCGGGAGGACGGATTACTAGCCTATTTCGGTGAGTTTATCATAAACATTCGAATGTGACTAATAGCAACTGTTTTCTTATTCAAATTTTGAGGGAACGAAAAATGACCCTAGTGACGTCATATGTCGGTACGAGTTTGTTGAACGCATACATACATACACTTATGAGCCTGTTTCCGACATGAGAATCTGAAATCAATCAATGGTAAATGTGGCCAGTTTGAACATTCGGTTTTGTTGATTTGTATGAAAGCGAGCTGGTTTGAATCATATTGATCGATTTTGACAGGGCGATTGCGTAATGCGTAATGCGGTATTCTCATTTAACACATCCAACCAATAAATAAAAAATGCCCATTGCCACATTGACAATTCAAGTTCAGTAGGCGAAACAAGCTGTTTTTCGATAAATTCATCATCTGGCCATTACAATTATACAGGGTTATTTGAGTTCGTCTATCTGGTTTTGATCGCATCAAACTACGTAGAGAAAGTATGCTACAGTTATTTGCCTGATCATCATCTCGTTCAGTTCAATGATACATTCGCCGGGGATGGGGTGGGTTTCCTCAATCGAGGCCACGGCAAGGCTAAAGCCCGGGTAGAATATGTATTGAATAATATCCCCATAACCTGTGCTTATTGGTTCTCCGTTTTAAAGTTTGAGAGTTAGTCAGTTTTAGTCATTATCGAATGGCATACTCATTTGATTACATTAAAATATATGTAGGTGATTCAAATTATCATCCATCCAAGCAGATTCTCTCCGTATGACCTATCACTAGCTTAGAACACTGAATACCATATTTGGTTGTCGTGGCTTTGGAGGTTATCTCCTCTAACTATTCGCCAGACTAAACCGAGCGATTGAAATAACTATGCGACTGGAATAGGAACTTACCTGTTATCAATATTGTGCCATGGGCCGTTCACAACAAGTGATTCCAGTGTGACACAGGACTCGAGATTTCGAAACACTTCGGAAGCGGCCTCCACAAAATCTACGACGAGAAAAATGCCTTTTCGGGTCAATCGGAGAGATAGCATAAATTCTACTTTCAAGTATGCTAAATGAGTGTGATTGCTGATTTCAAAAATTATTAGTAATAATAATGTATAAAATAAGAACGAACTGAAACGTACACTATCCGCTTGCCGGAAATGATTTCTACAAGGTATACCAATAATTCCAGAAGAAAACCTATTGTAACATTAGAACATAGGTCAGAAGGCGAACAATTGTTTTCGAATGTTTCATACTCGTGCCTGTAAAAATCAGTTAAGGATTTGATATTAGTTGGGAGACGTTTTCACGCTGAGTAGAAAGGTCTGTCGGGGCGGGCAGAGGGGAAGGGTGGTGTGTCTGTGTTTTGGTGAAATCGATTACGATCGGGCTGTTAGTGGTGGACTTGATGATGTTGATGATCAATTTGGGACCAGGGTAAGGGGAGAGCTTGAATCAGTCGTTTTTGTGCGCATAGTTCTGGTGCGAAACAGGGAATGATTATTGCCGCAGCGGTGACTAGCTTTGTAAGCGTACTGTCTTAGAGCGGATTCCGGTCTAATTTGATTGCCTGTATCCACTAGTTGACCAAGAATGGCACTTCCCATGCTCACTGTTCCTTCTTGTTTTAACCAGCGTGGGCAGTGTTCCTTCATACGTTGGGATAGTTGCCTCACCGTGAGGCCAACGAAAATTGTGTTACGAACGCACCGGAAGGAGTAGATAATCATAGAAGTGACGAGCGTAGACAGCCTATATTTGTTCACGGAGAAAAAGGTTATCCTGAATGGTTCATCGAGAAAAACTTTCAGGAAAGACCACTATCCGAATAGGCTCAAGAGGCTCAGATGAAGAAATTATTAGTTCGCCAACTTTTTCAAGAAAATGTGATATCCGACCACTTGAATGAACTTCTGACGCGTGCAATTAAGCGGATCCTCAAAGCACTTTGATTATCTTCTGTGCTCNCATGTTCATCTACTGGATGCAGGCCATCAAATTAGACCAGAATCCGCGTTCAGCGTAATCTATCGTGTGCCCCCCCAACCCCTCCAAGGCGGTGCGCTTACACAGACTAGTCACAGCTGAGACGGTAGACATTCGTTTTATTTGCACCAGAACTAGGCGCACAAAAGCAATTAGTTCAAGCTCTTCACTTCGCTTGGCCCCAAATTGATCATCATCA